ACGCCGATCACAGCATCGCCCTGCGCGAGGTCGTCGATGATCGTCTTGCATGGCGGCTTGCCCGTCACACGAAAACTGGTCTTGAATTCTTCCGAGTAGTCAAAGACTCCGCCAAGGCACTCGTTGTAGTAGACGCACAACATCATCTGAACTTGGAGGTTGACGTCCTTCGGGTCCGTGTAGAACTTGGACGCGAGCCGTGTTGCGTCCTGGAGCCACGCGATCTCGGTTGTAACTTCGGTCGATGTCGCCGCCTCGTTTGGCTCGTACAGAAACGACGCCAGCGAGGGGTGGAACTTGGTGCACTGCTGGTTGATCTTGTCGAGCATGGTACCTGTAAAGTTGTACGAGTACGCGCTATCGCCAACCATCGTTGTGTCCGTGTAGTCCATGTAGAGCTGTGGGATGCTCGCAAAGTACGGGTTCAGCGGGTGCGGCGACATCCACACAGACGTCGGAATCGTTCCTGCTTTAAACATGAGCACACCCGGCAATGGATAGCACCCCATACCAGCGTTGCCTCCCTTCATCGTGATGACATCAGTCGGACGGATCGTACTGCCATTGAAGCTGCGACACGAAGACCACGTTCGCGCATCTGCGCCCTTGTTGATTGGCGGCTTGGGCGCCACAACACAGTTGTAATAGATCGTGTGTAGAGCGTCCACCATGGCCTAATACGTTGTCTACATGAGAGATCACGAATGTTGATTCTCATACATGGTGGGCGTAAAACACTGGATCCCCCGGCGACGCAAACGTGCCCATGATCGCGTTCAACGTCGCGTGGACCATGTCTACCAAACGTCAGTTCCACAATGAAACACTCGGAACTTACTGTGCGTGCCATATTGAATGCCTTTTGTGACACCGGCAAGCGTCGGGGCCACGGTCCCCAAGATGTTGTTGTAGACGCTGAGGACGTTGACGTCTGGCGGCACGGCAACCTTGGACCAGTCGTTGCGCGGTATGCAGCCGAGACACGTATTGCTGTTGAATGCTGACGTGCTTTGGCAGAAACTGGACGTCAGATTCGACTTGACGCAGTTGTCCGATGCGATAGTTGTGCCATTGACCGTGTTCTTCATCTTACCCGCGGGGCCTAAAGTCATGTATGATTCTCGTGTCATCGTGTGGCACCAACCTTGCGGAAGCGACCCGCCAAAGTCCTCGAGAAGGGAACCGCACGTGAGCATGTTCTTGCAACTGCCCGCGATGAAGTTGGCGCCGATCGTGGCATAGTCCCAGTACGGAAGAGTTACGCCGGAGTACTGCGGCCCGAGGGAACGCAGCATGTTCTCATACGCGAGCAAGTACGCGCGGTGCCAGTAAAAGAAGAGGCACCCATGGGCTTCTTGTTCCGAGGACGGCTCCATGTGGACCTCCATGAAGCGGTGGTGAAGGCCCTTTTGCATCGCCAGCGACACGGCCGAGATGTACGTTTCCTTCTCGTTGGGCGAATGTTGGCTCCACGCGCGACGGACACGCGGCGGCAAAGTTCTTTGGGTCGTTTCAGCCCACGCAAGAGCAGCAGTGGCGTACAAGGTGGTGAGCACACACGACGCACGCATGGTCGTGTCGAATCCGTTGTGTCCGACATAAATGCGACCATCCTTCTGCTTGGCTCCTTCGGTGATGGAACAAGAAGAATTATCGATCCCTTCGAAAGGAAGCAGTGGCTGCTTTACCTGTCCAGTTACCTGTCAGACATTCGATTACTGTTTTTGACTTTGAGGTTGCAACCTTTTTCGTTTACGCCGAGAACTCTTAAATTTCTTCGACACAAGATCACGAGAAGCTTAAAGTGCGTCTTCATACTTTTCGGTACACACAATCATCATGGTATCTTGTCCAACTACAGGCGCATGCTTGGTTGTTGGCACATGCACACCGATGCTTCCCACGGTACGATCAATTTCGTCCCCGAAGCTATACTGCAAGTGCATGGGGGAGACGAATGAGGTTCGTGTTGGGAGGCCGCCGCTGCCCAAGAAGGGACTGGTGGGTGGGTTAAAAGCGCAGAGTACCTAAAAGGCTTGGAGCTTGACGAGCAAATTGCAAATGAGCTTGCTAGCTTGGTCTTCGATCGTTGTGGTTATGCCTTGCAGAAATAGGCAACTCACTGCGCCGTCATCTTTGGGTAAAATAGCGGTCCGGCGAAGTGGCTCAAGTGCACTTGCTCGGCCTTGGTAAAAACACAGCTTCACGCGTTCCGCGCGAAACTATCCGAAGCGGTGTTGCTACTGATGTCACCGGGTCTCGTACCGCCAGGCTTGTATATTCACCGATTCGGATGCAAAAGTTCATTCATTATGCAGAATCCATAGTGCGTGCGACGAGCGGATGGTTGCGAGCTTTGTCAAAATCGCCGCGTCGCTCTACAAAAACAGCGCCGACGCGCCGTTGCACGGGTACGTCTTGAGCATTGCGCGCTCCCAGCCGGGCACGCCGATGACAGTGTTGCCGCCGGCAAGGTCGTCGACGATGCGCTTGCACGGTGGCTTCTTCGACACGTGGAAGTTGGTCTTGAACTCGTCCGAGTAGTCAAAGACGCCGCCGAGGCACTCGTTGTAGTACACGCACAGCATCATTTGCACTTGGTGCGTGATGTCGGCGTCTTCCGTGTAGTAGTTCGATGCGAGGATCGTCGCGTCGCGGAGCCACATACTCTCCTTGGTGGCGGCAGCCGTCGGCGGCCCGCCGTCCGTTGTGAGGAGTACGGCGCCCGCGGGCTTGAATGCAGAGCACTGCTTGTTCATATCTTCCAGCATCGTGCCCGTAAAGTTGTACTTGTACGAATACGCGCCAAGCTTGGTCGAGTCCGCGTACGGAAGGTACGTTTGCGGAATGCCCTGGAAGAACGGGTAGATCGGGTTCGACGTAGCTGTCCAGATCGACGCTGGCACCGTGCCTACGATATCAAGGTGTCACCGGTCCAACTATCAACTTGATAGATTACCTGCTTCGCCCACCTTCATCGTGATAAGATCCGAGGGGACAATGGTTTTGCCCGCAAAGTTGCGCGTCGTCGTCCACGTGCGGTCGTCGTCATACGGGTTCTTCGGGGGCGACCCAGCCACGATGCAATTGTAGTAGATAGCGTGCAGCGCGTCGGTCGTGGCCTACACACCGTCAGTCAAACCTTCAGAAAGGGCGACGAACATGGTGGGCATAGAACACCGGGTCCGAGGGCGACGCGAACGTGCCCATCGTCGAGTCGAGCACCGCGTGCACCATGTCTATACAGCGAATCGTGTCATGTTATTCAACGCAAATCGCGTACTGTGGGTGCCCCATTGGACGCCGGACGTGACCCCGTCGAGGTTGGGGGGCACATCCCCCAGCACGTTGCTGTAGACGCTCAGTGCATTGACGTCCGGCGGCACCGGAGCTTTGGACCAGTCATTACGCGGCATGCAGTTGAAGCATTTCTTGGTGTTGAACGCGGTCGAGTTTTGGCAAAAATTTCTCGTCAGCGGCGACACGACGCAGTTGTCGGCTTGAAACACCTGCCCATTCACAGTTAGCGTGTACGGGCCCTTCGCCGCTACGCACATTCGGATCATGAGTCATTGTTCTTTCGTGGAAATAGACTTGTACTTGGTGGGAGCGACCCGCCAAAGTCCTTGAGAAGTGGACCACAGCTCAGCATGTCGGTGCATCCGCCAGAGATAAAGTTGGCGCCGAGCGACGCGTAGTCCCAGTACGGCAGCGTGATGCACGCAAACTGAGGCCCGAGCGAGCGCAACATGTTTTCGTACGCGAGCAAGTACGCGCGGTGCCAGTAGAAGAAGAAGCTGTCGTGCGCCTCGCTGTTGGAGGCAGGCTCGATGTGGATCTCGACGAACCGGTGGTGATAGCCGCGCTTCATGCCAAGACTCACAGCCTTGATGTACAAGTCCTTGTCCGCCTGGCAGTACTGGCTCCATGCGCGCCGAATCCGAGGCGTCGGGCATGCCGGCGAGGCGATTTGCGCCGAAACGACGGCGAGTGCGGCGGCGAGGAGGTACAAGTAGCGCATTGGCCGCAAATCGAGGAATGATTGAGCGGATCCGAGACCCAAGGTTCTCGAACAACAACGCGGGTCATTTGCAGCCTAATATGTGGGCACAGAAGGTCCGTCCCAAAGTTCCCACGCAACCCTCGCTTTCATCGATTTCGAACGACGAATAATTCTAAATTGACAGTGTCGAAGATTAGTTTGCAATGTTGAAGGCCCATTGTTCTTTGTCTACACCCACCTGCAACTGCTCGCGCCATCGAGGAGACTTGCTCGACGATGGTCGTGGGCTTTTGCAGTGCCAGATGGGTCGCGAGCGTCCATTCCAATTACTAATTTAAACGAAGTTGACCATTTTTCAACGATGTCCTAACGTTAACATCAGAGACGTCGCTGCTCGTGACATCACAGTACGTAGGTCCTTATCAAGAGTCCTTGTTGCATGCAGCTGCGGCTGACCAATGCCAACGCCAACTTTGTTAGTGGTTCCTTGACGTTTTGAAGTCGGACCAAGCCGGATCCGGAAGAAGATACACGACCTGCAGATTGAACATGTAAAAAGAGATTGCGCGCCAAAAACCACGTGTGGCCAAGTCTCAAGGCAACCCGCCAGGCGCTCACTTTGTCGAGCGTAGTGCCGAGGTAATCGTTGTCAGTAGGAGTAGCCTGAGCAGCTACTGGTACTGAAGCCTCAACCCCTGTGAATCATGCCTGGTGTGGAGCACCGGTAGCCCTTGACGCACTGATACGAGTACCCTGATGATCGTCGTACCCGGTATTGCACATTCACCTGGACGATACGAAAAATTAGGGTTCGTTATCCAGAGCGCGATCGATTATCTATTTGTGACGGACATTTGTTGATGGAGGCAAGGATCAGTGTGTAATGTTGTGTTCGGTGTCGCGTCACGCAGTTGCCCTGGGGCAAGGCAGCCTTGCCATTTCCATCGCCAAATCACGCTGCTCTGTGCCCGGGCTATCCCGGCGCTTCATGCGTCGCTGGCTTGCCATCATGGAGACAATAATGTCGCGTGGTGCCGATGCAATCACTCTGCACGCTCGCGGTGCCACGTGTGTGTGACGTGAAAATCAGGCTGAAGCACGTGAAAATCACACGCGACGTGTGTGCGTGGCGCCGCTGCATTGGCATCGCCAAGCGTACACGCGCGCTCTTCTCTTATGCAAAGCTCCTCGGGCGTGCTCGAGGTGCAGGCTCAACCGCCTGCGCAGCTGCGACAGACAGTGTTTTACACGTGAGAATCGCTGGCCAATCGGCGTGCGTTCCAAACACGGACGATTCACACAATGGGTTTGTATTCACGCGGAATAAAAATACAGCGCAATAAAATGAGCGGTGAATTTCCATTTCCAATTGGAGCGGATGCGACTGCGGCACCTGAAAATCCCCTTCTTCCTCGCGATCGTCGTCTCGCTCTGCTGCTGGTGCTTGCTCGTCGTGACCTTCACAGGCACGCCGGCGACGACGATCCGCAGCTCCAAGTCCTACTTCGCCGATGTGCTCAACCGCGCTCGCTTCCAGGTCCGCGACAACCAGCCACATGCCAATGGCTCATCATGCCGTTGTAGAAGCAGATATCGCCGACGATGATGCAGCCGCAGAACCGTATGACACTGTCGCCCGCACCGTACTGGCGAGCCAACAGCACCAAGACCGACTACGAGTGCTTGGGCTGGCGACAGACAGGTCTGACGCTCTGCAAACCATACATGTGCCATGCTGACGAGCCCATGCTAGGCGGCTGCTCGCCCGATGGTCCGCGCGAAATGAACGAAGACAAGCCATGCGACGCCAAGATTGAAGCAGGTCCGTAGCGATAGGCGAGGTGTCCTCGATGCATTGTATGTCCAGGCACGTCGGGCTACTGCGAATCCATCCACCGCCCGTCCGGTCAAGTCGTGCGCAGCTTCCAGAGCACGTGCGATGGCATGAAGTACGGATCTCACTTTACGTGCTCGCAGACAGGGTATGTTGCTTGTGCTCGACCTTGGATGCTGACATTGTCCAGGGACTTTTTAACGTATGCCGATATGCCATTGACGTACAAGGTGCGACTATTTCAAGTGCCCGTGAAAGAGTCGATCAAGAAGCGCTTCGACCTGACGCGTGGCGTGGTCATGGCCGTGTACCCCAAGGTTATGAAAAGCGCGTATGCTGCGATTCGCCGGGTACCACACGTTGCCATCCGTATTTCGATGGCTCATCGCAGTGCAGCTTCGGGACACGGGGTGCACACTGCCTGTCGAGCTCTGGATCCGCCTCGACGAAATGAAGCTCGACCACCCTGTGCTCAAGCTCCTCACCGACAAGGTACGCATGTGTCTCTCGCGAGCGCCGTGCCATGTCCACGTAGTACAACTGCTTTGTGCGCGAGATCCGCGACGAGGCTGCAACTCATTTTTACGTCAAGCCGTACGCCGTCTACCACAGGTAAACCAAGTCGGACAGGCACAGGCCCACCTTCCTCTTGCAGTGCATTTGACCAAGTGCTCTTGCTCGACTGCGACAACTTTGTGGCGGTGGACCCGACGTACCTCTTTGACTCGCCCGAATTCAAGGAAACCGGTACACACGCTGCCCTTTGGCGCGCCCAAGGCGTCAAAGCAGCGTAGGCGCCATGTTTTGGCCCGACTTTTGGAGCATGCGCAAGACGATTTTCAACATTCACAACAACTCGGTGCTCTGGGAGCTCCTCGGCGTGCCGTTCGTCGACATGTTTGAGCAAGAGTCGGGTCAAGTGCTCGTCGACCGCACGGTCCGTTCTCTGCGACCTCCTTACGACGAGGTCGACGTGCCCAAGTAGAAGAGCGCCGAGCCGCTGCGCAACCTCATGTTTTACAGCTTTCACGAGCCGCGCTTGATCGAGCTCTTTGACATGGCGTGGGGCGACAAGGACCTCTTCCGGTTTGCGTGGTACGATCGAGCGACCGATATTCTCATCGCCCAACGCTTTGCCCCAGGTTGCGGGCCAACCAGCCTTTCCACATGATCCAAAAGCCCCCGGGGTCGGCCGGCGTCAAGCACATCACGTACGTGAGCCAACGCGCGGCAGTCCCGACATATACTTTGTAGCTACGATCTCTTTTGCGGGCACACGATGGTGCAGCACGACCCCCAAGGCAACATTGTGTTTCTCCACCGCAACACGTACAAGCTCACGGGCTCGCCGGACGCGCCGCTCATCTGTACGAGTGACTTGACCGATATCATGCTCACGACAGGCGTTGGCAGGGGACCACATTCAGCAGTTCCGGCTGCCCGTGGCCGACGAGGCGTACGACGTGCGCGGTGCCAACGGCGGCGAAGTGTTTCCCGACTTTAAGCGGTACGCGATCCTATCGCTCGACGTCGTGCGCATCATGGTGTAGCTGTTTCGGCAAGGACACTGCGTACGAGCCGACGTTCCTTCTCACGCCGCTCAAGGACTTTGCTTTTGGCGACCTCGAGCCGTCGATCCTCCAATATGCGCACGAGGCGTGGCTGCTCGTGCCCGACGAGACGGAGACGCCCGAAGGGCCGTAGATCGACCCGACATGATTTTAACCACAAGTAGACGCAATACACACACGCACTAGTCATGTCATGCCACGTACAAGGGCTTGCAGCGCGGCGGTCGTATGCGATGCTCGGCTGCGTCATTGCACAATGGGACGGCGTGGGCACGCCCTCCTTGGGCAGCCATGCACGCGTTCGCTGGCGCCGTCGAGTGCTGCGGCGAGGTCTCTTGCGCTAGTGGCATGCAGCTTACGGCCTGGAGCGTTGCCGCCGCCATCCATCGGTGGTCGCAGCAGATGGCCTCTGGTCGCTCGGCGGCGGCGAGCCCGGGACGGTGCCTCAATTAAATACGCAAGTCATTTGACGCCGTCATTTAATGGTTGTATTGGATGTTTGTATGTACGCCGAGCGGGGGGCCAATAAAACGGCGGTGATAAAATGCATCGCGCATCTCATTGGCCAAAAAGGCGCGCCGGGTTTCACTGGTTCGCAAGCATGTGGTGTTTAATGGTTGGTGCATGGCATGTTGGCGCCCGGTGCACAGTCGAGTTCATTTTTTTCTTCCGCCCCCAAGAAAAGGTAAAGTGAGCTCTGAGATGGGCCGGCGCTCAGGGCCATCTGCAAGTAGACACTACCATGGTTCAAGTGACCCCCGTCGTGAAGCGCCCGATCATCAAGAAGAAGATCACCAAGTTCAAGCGCCACCAGTCGAACCGCTTCAAGCGCGTGGCCGAGTCGTGGCGCAAGCCCAAGGGTATTGATGGCCGTGTCCGTCGCCGCTTCAAGGGCGCGATCCGCATGCCCAACGTCGGCTACGGCTCGAACTCGAAGACCAAGCACTTGTTGCCCAACGGCTTCTACAAGTTCACGGTCAAGAACGTCGCCGAGTTGGACATGCTCCTCATGCACAACCGCAAGTACTGCGCCGAGATCGCCCACAACGTCTCGGGCCGCAAGCGCAAGGACATCTTGACGCGCGCTGAGCAGCTCAACATCCGTGTCACGAACCCCAACGCCCGTGTCCGCGCCGAAGAAGCCGAGTAAGCTTTGTAGGAATGCACCATGGAACGAACGAGGAAGGATGCGACGCACGACGGCTCTTAGTGTGGACACCTTTTTTGCAGGGGTTAAGAAATTACCATCACATACACTTGGACCACGTTGTCGCCTCAATACGTCGAGTCGCAGCGCAGGAACGAACGACTCTCGGAGCCCGAGAGTCGACGAGGCCACCACCGCCCTTGACACCCTGGCGCAGTATTTCAACCGTTTCTCTCCGGAGCGCCTGATACGTCTGGACGACTGAGCTCCGTGGAACGCACTTGACGCGTTGAAGACAAGCGCGTCGTCTGCGATCTCCCACATGCCTCTGAGTCCATCCTGCAGAGTAGCCACTCTTGGCGCGAATGATTACACCGAGGTGTGTGCTGATAGCCCGGCTACAGTACCGTTGAATGGCCAATATCGTCACGCCTGCGAAGAGATATAGTTGCTGCACTTTGATAGCAGTCCTTTGAGCTATTGGAGCTCCGCGAACGTGCAAACAAGAGTACACATAAAATACTCGTGGTGCAAACTACCGGTACTTCGTACTACCGCCACCGCGGACTCCTCTGCATGTTCCTCGAGCGACTTGCTTTCGAGTGCACTGGTAGTCGCTGCGAGGTGCACAACGTCAGGGTATCTCTTGAGCTCGACACCAATGTCCACTTTGATTTGTCCATCGAGAGCCTCGTCACATGCCAGACGAGCCCGCTTGTCAACGGAACAGTTATTTTACCGGTAGTCCCTTGCTGCCCTTGTACACAAGAGGCTCCGTCCACTGGCGCGCTCGTGACTCTTCGTGGTGCCTTTGATTGGCTATAATGCCGGCAATAATATATTGTATGGTTTGGAAAGCATACATTTACCAAGCTAAATTGCCAAGGATGTGGGAAATTAAAATACGCCGGATAATGATTGGTGAGGGCCTGAGCTAAGATTGCATTTGCCGCTCAAGCGCCATGTCGTCGTCGGATGATGAAGCTCCGGAGCAGGTCTCCATGGCCATGGCCAAGACCCAGGTAGATATGCCACGTGGCTCTCAAGCACTGGTGCTAACGACACGTCTTTCTTGCGCAGGCCATCGAGTCCCGTGCATCTGAAAAGCAAGCACGCGCCTCGGCCAAGGCCACCGCGGCGCTCAAGCGCAAGCGGTACGTCGCTTGTTTCTTGTAATAGTACTTGACGAATCGACGTTCTAGTCAGCCCAAGAAGAAGGAGGAGACCGTGATTGAAGCCTTGCCCGACGACATCCTCGCTGCTGTAAGCGCGCCGAGATCCTAGAGTGTGCAATGCTCATCCCTGTATCTCTCAGGTCGCCGCTGCGCAAGACGAGCCCAATGTCGACGCGGACGGAAAGCAGGAAGAGGAAGCGGTCGTACAACCCAAGAAGTCCAAAAAGACCAAGAAGAACTCGCACACCCGCCGCTTTGGCAACATCGAAGTTACGACGGTCGCGAGTCTCGTACGTACATAGAATACCTTCGTCTCTTGTACTGACCGTTGGTGGGCTGGTAAAGGAAGAAGAAGCAGCACCCGTGTCCGACTCGATCGCCAAGTTCATTGAGCTCCGCTCGGCGCCCCACCGCGAGCGTGCGAACTACAACAAGGCGCTCCTCAAGCCCGTTGTGAACAGCCGAACGATGAAGGCCAAGGCTAAGATTTAAAGCGACGTAGATGCAACGTGGATACGTCCAGGCACGGCAAATTATATACAAACTCTTTTTTCATCGTCCTTATGCCCTCGGCGAATGACTAACTAAACGCGAGTTGAGCCTTGCACGCTGGACACCAAGGGCGCATCAATTGAAAAGGCGGTTGAGAAGACCGTTGGCGTGAAACCTCCCAGTCGATTCAAGACCGACGATGGCCGACGCGGGAGCAACGACGAGCTCGCTCTTGCCGGGACAGGACCCGGTCGTGACCGAGGCCGCGCTGCGCTACAGCCAGGAGATTCAGGCTCTCGTGCCGACGTTGCCAGACGAGATGGGCCTCTTCCGCCAGGAGGTTGAGAAGATGCTCAACGCGCTCACCAAGTCGCAGGAGAGTGAACAGCGCCTCGTGCGCCGGACGCGGGAGATTGTGCACGAGATTGGGACCAACCAAGACAAGTACGCGCGGGACAAGGAGGAGGAGCTCGAGGCGTACAACTACAAGAAGAAGGTCCAGGTCGAGATCGAAGTCATGTGGGGCCAGGTCGCCAATTCGCACAAGATCGAAACCGAGAAGCAGGCAAAGCTCAACGAGCTGCGGACGAGTATTGCGATGCTCGAGGAGGAGCTCAAGAATGGATCTGGCTGGAGCGAAGCGCAGGAAGAGGCGATGGCCAAGCTCAAGCGGCAGCGGGCCGACGGTGCCCGCGAGGTGGACACCAAGACGACCGAGCTCCAGCAAGTGCGGATGCAGGTGAACGCACTCCACGCGCTCGTGACCGAGGCCGAGGAGGAGCAATTCCGTCTGGACGAGGCCGTCGCACGCGCCAACCAGGACGTCGCAGAGCGCAAGAGCTCGGCCGAGAAGGAGACCAGGCGCAAGTTGGTGCTGGAGAAGCAGCTCAAAGCTCTCAAGTCGGAAGCCGAGCTTCTCAACGCCGAGCACAAAAGCAAGGTGGACCAGGTCAAGGCTGGCGAAGCCGTGTTGAAACAAGTACGACGACACTATAAGCTGCAACGAATCCATAGCGTCGCCTAGAAAGAAACGCAGCTGCGCGAATCCAAGGCTCGGATGGAAAAGTACCTCAAGCAGTACGATGTTCTGTACCGCACGACGCACCAGTTCACCGAAGCCATGGAGACTCAGTGGCAAAAGTACGATGTCGTTCGCCGCGGTAGCATCTATCTGTTGCCCTTAGAAACCAAGAAATCTTGACCATGAACAACCACATGGAGACCGAGGTGGCGACCAAGGAGGACGCGATCGCCAAGCTCGTGGCCGAATGCACCAAGATCGAAGCGCTTGTCGAGCTTACAAAGGAAAAGATCGCCGACGTCAACGCCGCCAAAGGTTGTGTTTGCAACAACCCCAGCAACACATGGAAGGCTTGGATGTGTAGCCAAGGTCGACACAAAGCGCGACGCTTGTAAGCTCACGTTGAACGAGCTTGAGAACGTGACGATGGAGGTCGAGCGCAAGCAAGGCGAAGCCGTTCGAAAGACGCTCGACGATCTCATTCGACAGCGCGAGCTCGTGAATAAGATGCTTGTTCGCGCCGCCGACACATCCCAAGGCACGCAAGACCTCATCAAGATTCAGGAGAACACGATGAAAAATCTCGAAAATGAAATCAGTGGGTACCGGCAAAGCGTCAAGAAACAACGGTACACCCAATGCTAACTAGTCTTGAAACTTGCAAACTCCGATTTAGGGACATGATCCAGCAGCTCGTGACGGACCGTGATCGGTACGACAAAGAAGCAGAAGCCGCCAACAAAAAGTATCGCACCGCCCTTGAGGAGGCCAAGCTGCAGGACCTTCAAGTAGGCGATGACATCGATGTAAGATCGTCACACTCGGATAGGTCGTATCGCTCCAAGACAAGATCAACGAGGGCGAGGCGCGGCTCAAGCAGCAGCAAAATCTGTACGAAGCCGTGCGCAGCGACCGGAACCTGTACAGCAAGAGCCTCATCGAGTCGCAAGAAGAAATCGCCGACATGAAGCGCAAATTCAAAATCATGAACCACCAAATCGAGCAGCTCAAGGAAGAAATCACGACAAAAGACCATTCCCTCGTGAAGGAGCACTTTGACCACCACAAAGTGGACAAAGTGCGTTCTTATTCTCCACATTATCGGCGGTATGAACGGAAGTGCGTAGGACAAAGAAACCCTCAAAGCCGAGCTCACTCGCATCAAGAAGCAAATTCAGAGCTCCGAGCAAATCATCACGAATCAGGTACTCTTCACAAGCCATGGTTCCTTGACACTGGAACTGAATTTCATGGATGTAGGAGCAAGAGATCTCCAAATTGGCCTCAATTATCCAAGAGGCCGACGACGAGCGCCAGCGCCAGCTCAAAGAGTACAACGCCGTCATCAACGACCGCGACAACCTTCGCGCACAGCTCATTCTGCGCAAGTACGTCTGTCCTCATTAGTTCCACATCCATTTACGTTCACGTTTAGTGAGGAGCTCAAGTCGCTCTATGAAAAGATTAAGATCCAAAAGTCCACGCTCAACATTGGTCAGGTTCAGTACGCCGAGCGCGTAAAAGAAGTTCGCGCACTGGAGACGCGCGTCTTGGACCTCATGGCGGAGCACAAAAAGACAGAAGAGCAAATCTCGTGCACCGGGTACGATAAAGCATGGGTGCCGGTAATTAGACAAATGTCTTGTAGCGACCTCAAGAGCGAACTACTTCGCCTCGAACGCGACTTGCTTCAAGAACGCACCAAGATCAAAGCCCTCTCAGAGGTCCACGACGCTCTATTTTACCTTCTCTCGAATCCAATTGTAGGAGTTGGATCACCCCATGAACGTGCACCGGTGGCGCAAGCTCGAAGGCAGCGACCCCAAGCGTTTCGACATGGTGCGTACTATCGAGTTGAGAGGTTGGTTTGTCACGTCTGATGTAGATCCGCAAAATTCAAGTGCTGCAGAAAAAACTCATAAAAAAGTCCGAGGAGGCGTGCATGAAGGGTGCGTTGTCCAAATGTGGCTTGGCACTCATGCGTTGTGTCTAGATTTGCTCATTGTCGAGAAAGAAAAGCTGTATGTTGAGCTCAAGAACGTGCTGGCGCGCCAGCCAGGACCCGAAGTCGCCGAGCAGCTACTGGTCTATCAAGACAACCTCAAGAAGAAGCAAGCTCAGATGAAAAGTACACATATTCCTCGTGACGACAAGAGACAAATCACCTGCGACTAGATATGGAGAACGAGCTCGAAATGTACAAGGCTCAAGTCCGCGAGTACAAGCACGACCTCCAGCGCATCGACAAGGAGATGCTCAAACTCAAAGAAACATGGCTCCACAAAGTCCGTGCGGAAGTCAACGAGCTTCCCGTGGGCCCAGAGATGGACGATGTTGAGCCACCCGAGCAAAGCAACAACCAAGGGTTTGCTGTCGTGCACCACAGTGTGGGATCAGACGAGATGTATCTGTGTCGTAGGACAGAGCGACCGGCTCCGCCCGCCGTACCGAGCCCGCTCGACGAATCCATGTTTGCACTCGGCAAATAAGCGTCCCTTGCATGCTTTCATATACTTGGCTATCAATTCAATACAATACACAACAGTTCGCGCAGCCCCGGAATTAACGATGCGGACAAAAAAACCAGCTTTGCTTGCAAACACGAATTGGCGATACAAATTTATTTGTTGAACTTACATCGACGAAGATGCAAGGGAAAAAGGGAAACATCAAACGTGAAAAACATTCCACCAGATAATTTTTACCTGTTAGATATTCAAAAAAGAGGTATGAGACATGGAAATGACACAATGGCCGAGTGGTCTAAGGCGCTGGATTTAGGCTCCAGTCTTCGGGCGTGGGTTCAAATCCCACTTGTGTCATCAG